ATAGTCAAACACCTAGGAGTAACCTTTGACCAGAACCTCTCCTGGAATATCCATATCTCTCAGATTACCCGAAAATCCATAGTTGTCCTTAAACAACTCCTAAGATTCCGTGATTGTATTCCTCTAAAAACCAGACAGCTCCTTATAACCTCCCTTATATTCCCCCATTTGGACTACGGTTGTTTGGTGTATAGAGGGCTGTCTGGCAGGCTAGAAATGAGACTGAAGAAACTTATAAACTGTTTCATAAGATACATCTTCAGGATCCCCAGGCGTTCTCATGTTTCATTCTGGTACACCGAGTTTAAGTGACTTTATCCTACTTCTCGACAAGAATTCCTCCATGGTGTTTTCCTTTTTTAAGTCCTCAGAACCAAAAACTCTCCCTACATTCTGGAACTCCTTACTCTACGCTCCTCTATCCACTCTCTTCATTCTAGTTCTCAATCTATAGATTTATATATCTCCTCTCATAAAACTACTTCCTTCAGCAAATCCTTCCTCATTCGTGCTTCCTCCTTCTGGAACTCTCTTGTATCTGTATACTGTTTAATTTCATTCTACTGCACAATTGTAATACCAATAAGCAGTTAATTAGTTTGGAATTCTTATTACTTTAAGCCAGACTAAGACCCATAAATTTGTTACTCTGTTGTTATTCGTAGGAGACTGTAGTCGCAGAATAAAATTATTTTTTTCATTCATTCCATTCATACACGCGTTTCCCTGCAACCTGATAACCTCAAGATATGAGTTCCAGTCGCAGTGCCGGTGGCTGTTATCTCTGGCATTAATTCCCCGCCCTCTCCCCTGGCATAGCGGAAAAGTCAATGTAAGAGAGAAATAGAAAAAAAAATTGATTAAGTGGTATGTTCGAAATTCACTTTTATCAACTTTATTATAAAATTAAATATATTTCTTTAAAAAATTTCATTTTTTACAGTTTTTTTAGTTTATTTCAATGGCATTGGATAAATCCAAACAGCCAGATAGAAATTTATGGAGATGTTTTTAGGTAATTTTTGACTATTAAATGTATTCTTAATTATTTTAAAATATTTTACTAAGCTGCTCATTGGCAGTTAAATTGTATTTTATTTTGTTACATTGGATTGTATTGTACAGTATTTTCCATTGTTATCATGAAACTTTCGCGGTCCGAATTTGGCGTAGGCCGTTGTGACAAGTATTATCGGTTTTTTTATTTTTATAGGATTAATAATTTTTGATTTCTTGCTAATCATTTATTTTACAAGTATAATCAGAGTTTATTTTAACAATCATAATCTTATTATCTGTGGAATATTTTTATTATTTATTATCTTGAATTAAGCAATTTGTAAATAAACCTTTCTTATTACTGGAGTATTATGACAGTGAATATTTGTTCATTTGATGGAAATGCAGTATGTAATTAAAACCAAGGTATGAAACATATATGTTACTTTTTTTAACAGTTCCATTCTAAGAAACTTTTTGTAATAGTGTTCTTCTTTTATGGTAAAAGTTTCAACTTTCACTTGCCTAAGTTAAAAAAAGAAAATCATCTTAAATGAGAATTAAACAGTAATTAGGCTTAGATTAGAATTATAATTTTTCTTAAATGAATTACTTCGTTCTAATTTATCGTTTGTTTGAGTAGCTAAGAAAAAATGTCATTTTTTGGATCGATTTTTTTTTTTTGTGAAATAAACGGAACATTTAAATAGAACCTTTAATAAAAATCATTGTTTTGTCAATGCTTTACTTGAAAAGTTACTGGGGGAAAAGTTCTAGTTCCGAAATAACAGAAAATAAAGATTTCAGTCATATTGATTTTATATTATTACAAATAAAAGTTTTGGTTTATTATTTTCAATAATCAACCATTGTGACCCCCTCTCAAAATTTGAGGTTTCACGTTTCAGGATGCCTAGAATTCCAAAAACGAATAAAAATTTTTTTGTCCGTCCGCCATCCGCGCATTTTCTCCGAAATTACTGGACCATTTTTTTTTTCAAATTTAGATATAAAATCAGTGGTCACCCGAAGATGATCCTCCTTCATCGACATTACTATCCGCCTTTTACTTTCAAAATGGCGGCCGAAACACCTGCGTTGCTATAGACTGTAGTTCCTAAACGAATGTACTGATTTCAATGAAACTTAGCCAAAGTCATTTTTCCGACGACCTTTAAATTTATCTATATAACATACTTCAACGAAAAGCAGCTGGGAAAAAAGTTACAAGGGTTGGTAAAATTAAATTCCTAATAACTCAAAAAGTTTATACTTTTTTTCGAAATTGTATAGTTTTTTAAAAGTTTAGGAAATTTCCTAAAAAAAAAATCGATAAAATCAGGACAATAAAAATTAGGACAATCAGGAGCAAAGACATGGTCTTCAGTTCTTTTTTATATGTTCTATTCCAAATGTTATATCCTTTGTTTGATTTTTAAATTTTGAATGTTTTACTGAAGTAATGCTATTTTTGTTTAGCCTATTACTAATGATTAAAAAAAAAGTTTAGTCCAATAATTGGAATCACCTTTTATTTATTTTTCTTTGTATGTAAGAAGGTAATATTACTTTAGATGTTGTGAAATAATTGGCAGCGTTTTTTTTTTTTTTTTAGCACTTTTATTTATTAATCCGCACCTGTCAATTATACAACCATCGACAATCAGCAGATGAGCTGGCACAATCATAAAATAAAATAAATAAAAATAAAATAAATAATTTTATTTATAGATAGGCATGAGCAAAAGCAATACCCAGCGGCACCCCTCCATGGCTTTTACTTACTTACATACAATTATATAAGTAGGTCCCTCATCCAGCCCCTTTTCAGTCGTCTTCTGGAGTTCTCCGGCATAATAGTAGTGGCCATTTCTTTAATTAGCTGATTGGAGTGTCCGTGTAATTTATTATGAAATCGTTTGTAGTAAGTTCGTATGTGTTCATTGATCGTTGGTATGTGTAAGTCAGTGTGTAAAGGGTTGTTATTCAGGTACCAGGCTGCTTGGATAATTAGTCGTAGGCTGAAAAGTTTGAAGTCGTTTCATGTGTGTTGGTTTTGCAATTCCATATATTTGTAGTCCATAAGTCCAGAGAGGTTTCAATAGATATGTATAAATATACAAATAAAAGTTAATATTTCATTTCAAATACGGATTAACACCGTTTTTTAAAGATTTTTATACTAATATAAAATTGTGAAATCTTTTTGAGGTGTTGTTGTATGAATGATTAAACTAATCAAGAATTTGTGATTGTTTCCGGATTGATAACGTTTTTTTTTTTCGTTTTTTTTATGATACAGATGGTAGATTTTAAACAATACTCATTTGTTTGAAAAAGAAAAACTGCTTACTAACTCTTGAGTTAGTTTTTCTTTTATATCACTGTGATATGATTATAGAGGAAACCAAAGCAAAATTATTTAACCAATTAAAATTCTCGACAACACTATCTGTAAGCTTAAAGCTTTAGCTCCGTTTAAAATGCGTTTCAATAATTTTGTAACAGTCCATCACTGCCAGAAAATAATTTCTATTCCAAGTAGAACGGTAAGTGAAAGTTGTGTGTTGCGCGCACCAGATTTTTTTGTTTATTGTGAAAATGTAATTGTAATTAACTAATTTTACATAAATTTCGCTCATTATTGTTTTCTTTTGTGGTAGAGAAATTTGATAAATTATTCTCCAGCTTTTGATGATGTCTTTTTTAAAATAATTGTTAACACTTTTATAGGTTGTAATAATTGATTTATTATAGATTTTCTTCCATTGTTTTATTTTTCTTTCTATTTTTTTATATTTAAACGGAATAAATTGATTTTTTTTTTATTAGTTCCTAATAAGTTGATAAAAATTGACAGGCAAAATTATCACTAATATTAATATATGGATTTTTTTTTACTTTCCTACCTATACTAGGTAAGGAAAGTATTGCAATCGGGTCAAATTTCCGACATGCGGTTTTCGACGGATCTATACGTTTCAGAGCCCCTGAGTCCGAAAAACACATTTTTAGCCATTGGTCTGTCTGTCTGTCTGGGCCAAGATTTTCTCGATTTTGTTGCTTCTTTTTTTATTTTGTTGGGTTTTGACTACTGATGCTTGTGACAGAAATTCGGTACTCCATGCGCAATAGCTTTCGCGCAATAAATCAAAACCATGTTTTACTATAGACTGTAACGCAAAAACGGCTCTAACGATTTTGATGAAACTTTCCTATAATGTTCTAATCATTGTTCTTTCAATTTTAGTATATAGACTAAATTCCTGATTTCAGAAAGGGGTGAATGAGAGAATAAAGATAACTAAGTGAAAGTAAGAAAATCTGTTGCCCGCATCACACTATCTTCACTATTTCCTCTACTTTTAACAGAAATTATTGTTTGACAATACTAAGCAAAAAGTTTTTGATCACCAATATTAGGAAGTATTGAAATTTTTACACTGGTCTACCTTAAGCCGGTTTACATTGCTTTAGTTTTTCAAATAAATCGTACTCAAATCTTATGTTTGATCAATTTCCAGGAAAATGTATCTAGTTCAATTCTTTTTTGTTTCTTCATGAACATATGTAAAGATATAAACACTTTTCTGAAATAAATAGGAAAGTCGTGTGAGTGGACACATCAGATATTTTTTTATAAGATATGTATAAATACTAGTTCGTCATGTCATTTTGTAAAGGAACAGCAAAATAATATTGAAATAATTAGATTTTATGTGAGAAAGTAATTGATTGTTTTTTTTTTCTTGGTCGAATACAATATTTCATTTAACATAATAGACCAAAATATTATATTATCTTTCATATTCAAAATAATGGCCTAGATCAAGAGATTTTCTAAATAATTTAAAAATATAAAAATCTTCCAACAGAAAAATGCCTTTAAGTTAAGAAGTAATAATGTATATATTTCTTAATCCCCATTGATTCTAACGTCCATTCATAAATAACAGACCATTCATAAACAATGTTACGTATACGTAGAGATGTTAACTTACCGAAAACCTGGTGCTGCTGGTCCCCTCATCTATAGACCCGATGAGGGGGGCCGGATCCTTGTCCGCGGGCATATCCTGGATGTTCGGGATGTCTGTCCCCTCACCACATACACACACACACTGAGATAACTCACCGACTGTCGCCTCAGTCTGACGGCAGTGTGGTAGTAGGGAGCCAGGCGCGGTGGGGGTCAGTACGTGACGTCGCGGGACACCTGTTGCGTCCAGGTAATATAGTCTTTATTTATTTATCGTTATTGTCTATCGACCTATCTGCGTTACTTATTCCAAGTTCCTAAACTTAGCTCTTAGTTCATCGATAGATACTATGTAACGGGTTCCTTTATTCAGCGATGGCTCAGCAGTTCCGTCGGATAAAGGAGTCGATAGATCGATTTTTAATTTACTTATTTACATTCATTGTCTTATCATTTAAGCCAACCAATGCAGAAGATATGAGAAAAGTATATTTTTTTATAATTGTGGGTAAATTCTTCATTATATATTTTTTTATCTCAATTATATCATATTATAGAGCATTGGTACTAGAAACTTAACTCTTAGCTCATCGATAGATATATCGGATTCAGCGGGTCCCTTTATTCAGCGATGGATCAGCAGTTCCGTCGGATATAGGGGTCGAGGAATCCGGTGGATGTAATCTCGATTTTCAATTTACTTATTCACATTCATTGTCTTATCATTTAGGCCAACCACTGCAGAAGATATGAGAAAACTATATTTTTTTATAATTGTGGGTAAATTCTCCATTATATATTTTTTTATCTCAATTATATCATATTATAGAGAATTGGTACCACAGGCGGATTTACGGGTGGAGGGGCTTTCGGGCTGCCCCTCCAAAATGGTAAAATATAAGCATGTTTTATAAAAAAAATATTAAAAACTATCTCTTAAAGTATTATTGTTCGTGTAATTACATTTAATAGGACTTCAAGAATGACTAAGACACCATTTCATATGGGTAGTTAGTTTCTTTCTTCTTTTTTTTTCAAATTAATTATCGTTAAATATATGGAAAAAAAATCCTTCGGGCTGAAGCCCCTCCCCCCCAAAAATTAAGTCCTGGATCCGCTAGTGTTTGGTTCTAGAAACTTAGCTCTTAGCTCATCGATAGATACTATGTATCGGATTCAGCGGGTCCCTTTATTCAGCGATGAATCCGGTGGATCTAATCTCGATTTTTAATTTACTTATTCACATTATTGTTTTATCATTTAAACCAACCACTGCAGAAGATATGAGAAAATTATATATTTTTTATCTCAATTATATCATATAGAGAATTGGTAGGTTAATCTGGAATATTGTCCTCTGCATACTATGGCGAATATTCCACATTGCACATCGCCATGTAATCTGTCCGGGTCTTTTTTCTTGATTGTTATCTTAGGTATAAGGGTAATCTTTTAATTTAATATTAATATTTTTAAAGGAAGTAGATCGTTAGAGGGAGGGAGAGGGGGCGGTCATAAATAGTGGTAAAAATATTTGTATTAAAAGCCAACGTTTCGACCTGACTTTGCAGGTCTTCTTAAATAAAAAAATAAAATAAATTAACGCTATGGCGTTAATAGTTTATTAGTACAAATATGTGAACACCCTCATATATATTTACTTATAATTTCTTATTTTCACCTCTGATTTTCCTTGATTCTAATTTTAAGATTCGATAATTATGTAATTTAATTAATTACATTGTGATTATAATTATTCTTGGGGGATTAAATGTCAGAGTAAAATTTTGTATTCTTTCTTCAAGTACATTTTTCTTTTAGGATTGATACTGTTATTTCTGTAGTATTTGTTTCAGAAGAAGAACCCTATACAATTGGAGTCTGTCACAAAATAACAAACATTATTATCCTTATGGAAATACAAATTCATTCCTTTTTATACTACATTACAGATATTTAAATACTCTTAAGGATAAATTAAAAATCATATTCGGTAAAAATCAGACAGTTAAAATAGTTCCAATTATCAAAAATCAATATAAAATCTGAAATTGACAACAATATGCATAAATAAATACACATAAATAAAACAATAGACACATTTTTTTAAAAAATATTAATTTAATATTTAATAGTTGACCGTTTCATTATAAAGGAAGTAGATGTTCCGGAATGGCGGTCATAAATAGGCTAAATAGTGGTAAAACTATTTTTATTAAAAGCCAACGTTTCGACCCGATTTTGCAGGTTTTCTTCAGGGCTAGAACGGACAAGATACAAAAAGATAGAGAATTGTGTAAATTACGTAATATTTAGACAAAAAATTATGAACAATGTGATTAAGCTTATTAAAATTATTAACAGTAAGTACATTAAAATATGAACTTCACTTCACTTCACTTTACTTCAATTTAGGATCTTATTACTTAGCTTACTCTGTTCATATTTTAATTTATTTACTGTTTATAATTTTAATAAGTTTATTCACATTGTTTATAATTTTTTGTCTAAATATTATGCAGCTTCAACAATTCTCTATCTTTTTGTATCTTGTCCGTTCTAGCCCTGAAGAAGACCTGCAATGTCGGGTCGAAACGTTGGCTTTTAATAAAAATAGTTTTACCGCTATTTAGCCTATTTATGACCCCGGACCATCTCCTTCCTTTATAATGCAACGGTCAACTATTAAATATTAAATTAATATTTTTTTAAAATGTGTATTTATTGTTTTATGTGTATTTATTTATGCATACTGTTGAAAATTTTAGATTTTATTGTTAAAATTGTTATTGTTTTATTGTTAAAATTGGAACTATTTTAACTGTCTGATTTTTATTGAATATGATCAGACTTTTTAATTTATCCTTAATTGTGTTGCACAGGCGGATTTACGGGGGAGGGAGGCTTTCGGGCTGAAGCTCTCCCCCCCAAAATGGTAAAATGTAACCATGTTTTATGGTAAAAAATTATGTCTCGAAGTATTATTGCTCGTTTAATTACATTTAATAGGACTTCAAGAAACGCTTAAACACCATTTCATATAGGTAGTTAATATCTTTCTGTTTTCCAAGGTAATTATCGTTATATGAAAAAAAAAAACTTCCGGGATGAAGCCTCTCCCCAAAATTAAATCCTGGATCCGCTAGTGTTCTGTAATATTGTCCTCCGCATATTATGGCAAAAATTCCATATTGCACATCGGAATGTAATCTGTCCGGGTATTTTTCTTGGTTGTTATCTTAGGTGTAAGGGTCATCTTTTAATTTAATGTTAAAACGTAGTTTAACATTAATATTTTTTAAAAAATGTGTAGGTATATTGTTGACAATTTTAGATTTTATATTATTTTGATAATCGGAATTATTTTAACCGTCTGACTTTTACCGAATATGATTTTTAATTTATCCTTAAGAGTGAGGTTAAAGATGATGATGTTCATGTGAAAGTAGGCAAGGAATTCCAAAATAAGGTAGCACCTTTGAGGAAGGATTTTTTTAAAGAAAACTATGAAAAGGAATTAACAGATTTGTGAGGAAGGAATAAAAAATCTGGTGCGCGCAACACACTACTTTCATTTACCGCTCAACTTTGAATAGATATTATTGTTTGGCCATGTTAGGCTACTATCAAATTTTTGAGTTGCATTTTTACTGAGCTAACGCTAAAATATCACAGCTAATAAATCATAAATGCTATTAAAATAACAAAAGTCCTATTTATTATATCACCGGTTGATTATGGATTGTACGATTCGTTGATTGTGGATTGTAGAACTATTAGTTATTAAATTGTTATTTTCCATTGCACAGTTTCCTAAAACGGAATTAAGAGATTTGCATTGTCTGTCATAGACAGGTCAAAAGTTGTCACACTAATTGTAAGTGGATTCTGTTGAAATAGCGCAAAGTGAAAATTATTTACTAATTTAATTTTCTAAAAGGTTACATAATGATTTTTCTGAATAAACAGACGATAGATACCTAATCATTTAAATATATCAGATCTAGAGTTATTAAATTACAGTAAATATATTCAAGTTTATAAATGTATCCATGAAATAGTTTTATATTTCACTTCTTCTTTCATACAAGTGCAATGAAATAGTATATTAAACAATGTCATTACCTTGAATCCGTGGGTTTTAAATACTTTTTCAAACTTAAGAAAAAAAAAATTAAAGTTTACGTCTAGTAAGAAAATTTCATTTAGTGCGAGACAAAGACTAGTCTTGGTCTTGCGCACTCAGTCTTGGATTTGGTCTTGGTCTTGCGCAAGAGTTTCATAACAGTCTTGCAGTTACCTATTAGCTTATTACTATAGAGATATTACTGTATTTTTTTAGGTAGAAGAAACCTAACTAAGCCCGAATGAAAAATTAGAAGAGTTAAATGCAAAAGTATATTGATTATACCAATTCTTTACATATATTAACTAAAATTGTCAAGAATTAGTAACTATTTTACCTTAATTTTTATTCAAAAAATCTATTTTATTTTACCAGCCTTAGTCTTGGTCTTGAAACAGTTAGGCGGTCTTGGTCTTTGTCTTGCAAAGTGCAAGACCAAGACCGATTATAGGCCACACTAATACAACTGGAGACGTGGGGGTGTCTGGGGAACTTCTAAGATTAGATTCATCTTATAATAATTCATTAGTCTCTACTTGCATATATACTCGACACGTTAGCTGAAGTTACGGTTCTCGGCGTCCTATAGCTTTATATCAGATATAATGATTATTTACGTTTGTATCTATCTTTATATCTATCCAACTCCCATTCAAATATTTTTAAAAATGACAATTTTAGAGACTTTGTATGATAGGCAAAATTCGAAATAATCCCGTCCGAAGTCGAGACGAATATCGCAACCCGGGGACCATAACTGCAGCTAACGTGTTAAACACCTTGCTAGATTGTTCGGGAAATTGATGTCTACGAATATTTTAACTTGATGTAGTAGAGTTGGGTGCCCCCAACCCTCGAACGAAACTCAAGATTCTTTCGGGTGTTGACACATATCGAAATATGGAACGAAATTTACTTGTCCAAAGCCGTAAAATAGTTTTAGTAGAAGGCATCCTGTTATTACACCAATTTTGAATCTTCATGTACCTTTTTAAATAGATTCGCATGTATATTCTCTTTGGATAAATAGGATATTCGATTTCAATAACCTTTTTAGTTTTCAATATTGACAATTTATATTCACACATAATAGGATCACAATCTTCCCCTCATGGTACGAACCA